CGCATCATTCTTCAAATGCCAGAATGACTAAAGCAATTTTGGCGAAGTCGGCTTCAACGATAGATTGGATGAGGGAAAATGGGCTAGAAACTGAGCTTGTCACTAACACACAGGAGGTGCATCAGAATCATCCACAGACTTACCATCAATTTGTTGATAATTTAATGGCTTCCAGAAGGTTGTGGACAACTTTATTAAAGCGGGCGGCACATTATTAACAGAAACAACTGGTAACAAAATTATTCAAGAAAACGGTGAAGTCGTTGGGATAGAAGTCACTATTAAAGGTGAGAAAAAGGTATTAGCGACGAAAGCAATAATTTTAGCTGATGGCGGATTTGTCGGTAATCAAGCCGAACTTGCTAAGTCTTGTTCAATCAATCCGGCTGACCTTTATTCAATGGGGGAGAGAAAGGCAACTGGAGATGGCCTGAAAATGCTTAAAGAAGCAGGTGGTGTGAATAATTATAAGCGGATTTTTGAAAATCATGCGGCGACTGTTTTTGCTAAACATAATCCGAAATGGCATAACCAAACTATTTTTACCTTAACTTGTTTACCTTTCTTGTGGCTTGACCGTGAGGGCAAGCGATTCACGAATGAAGACTTGGTTTATGATTTTGCCCTTTGGGGTGATACGGTTTATGCCAATGGCGGATATTATTACTTTTTATTAGATCAGCAATTAGTCCAGTTTTTAAAAACTAAGTCATTAAATTGGACAAGTTCATTTGAAAGAACCTTTCGCTTACTAGATGGCAAGCCAATGACACACCAAGTTGGACCCTTTGCTACAATTGAAGCAGATTTGCAAGAAGCAATTAGTGAAAATGCTGCCTTTAAAGGCAATACATTGACTGAATTAGCTGAAAAAATGAATGTCAATGCTGCAAATTTAACACAAGCAGTAAAGCGTTACAACCAATTAGTGGAAAAGGCACCGATTCTGATTTTTATAAAAAGCCGGAGTTTATGTCTATTGGGGTGAAACAAGTGCCATTTTATGCTGTTCGTGCTAATTCGACAACGCTAGGTACAGTTGGAGGAGGCCTAGTTAATGAGAATTTTGAAGCATTGACTGAAGCACATGCAGTAATTCCGGGTATCTACGCTGTTGGTAATGATGCGGCAGGGATGTTTGACTCTTCTTATCCGACAATTGAGGGCTTAAGC